AAAGGAGAAATGAGACTATCGCTGTATATAAGTCAATTTCAGTAAAAGTCTCTAAGTAGCATTTCAGTACATTAAATGAAAAGGAGGGGACAGTTGTGGCCCTCTAAGTATTTCAAAGCAAAAAAATTGATATTTTTAAGTAATATTTTCCAGATATAGGTTTTGGCCATCCCAATCTTTTGTAATTGTGAATTTTGATTCTTCAATTTTTTTTTTATTCTACACTTACATGTAAACTTGTATACATTTTATATACTTTTGATTACAATATAAAATATTGTGGTCCATTTCAAATAAAATTTAAATATTACTTATTTTTGCATCATTTTATGAAGTACTCTAAAAAATCAGGGACGATTCTCTCCTAATAAGTTTTCCTGGTTCCGTCCCTGGGCAAACATACCAACAAATAACCGAACCAATACTACAGTTGACTATTTTACAATAATTATTATTGTCTAATGTCTAATTCATCCCTTCAATCCAGATTCCCTCATTCAAATACAACCTAAAAGTAGTTGAAACTTTATATTCCCCATACACCAAAACTTGTATTAATCACTAACCACCCCACCAAATAAAATTTATTCACCTTTGAAATAAATTCGAAATCTTCACTATAAAACGGCACAAAATTCACATCTCTTTCCACTAGTAACGAAATTGAAAACAAAAAAAAATAATAAAATGAAGTCCGATAGAAAATTGGTTTGTTGTGGTATAATCGGGTTTCTGGCATTGGCTGCGTTGACGGTAGCTAGTCATGCAGTTACAACACCGCCCTGCACTAAAGCCATCGGAAAGCTAATGCCTTGCAAGGATTATCTTGTCGGAAAAGCCAACGGTGTGACGGTCTCGTGCTGCAGCAGTGCTCGTTCGATTCCGGCCGATTCTGGGGTGATCCAAAACTTGTGTGCGTGCCTTAAGAAGGCTGCAAAAGACATGCATATCATTCCCGAGAGAGCTAAGGCACTTACCGGCTTGTGCAAATTGAGTACTCCTTTCCCGGTTGATCCTCGTGTTGCTTGTACGTACTATGTTCGTTGATTACATATAGAGTTAAACATCTTTAAATTAATTCAGTCTGGACTAACAAAATTTTATTAATTTAGCGAAATATTAAATTATCAAACTAATAATTTAATACATTTTTATCGAGTTGGGACCGGAAGAATGTATTATTTAAGCGAGGTTATTAATTTATTGAGTATTAATTTATCGAGGTTCTACTGTATACACACATATACACAGACACACACACACACACACATATATATATATATATATATATATATATATATATATATATATATATATATATATATATATATATATATATATATATATATATATATATATATATATATATATATATATAATATTTGATATCTATGTCATAGTTTAATTGATCTTGTCTATACTTGATTCACACTTTCGTATGATTTCTGCTTTCAGAAAATTCAAACACCTTGTCGACATCCAAGTTCTCGAGAATGTGGAAAATGTGTGCGAGTGCTGATACAGATCAGATGAACAATGCCGCTGCCTGATGTTATCTTCATGCGAAGACGGATCACAATCTTGTCAAGAGGTTCGGTTCTTTTATTTACTCCTATGCCCTTTTGCAAAAATTCAGAGGCGGCTAAATATCGTGTTTCGTAACAAGGTTTAGGGTTTACAACAGGAGATAAAGTAAATATAATATCAGTAGATTGTCAAAGAAAAAAAAAACAACAGATTTTCAAGGCCGTAAAGATCGAGGCAATTTTTTTTTCTTTCAGCTATGCAGTTTTCGTATTATTTGATATTAATACATAATGTTAAATGAGGGTCTTTGTATAGAAACTATACATAATATTAATATTATATGAAATTTTTGAAAAAAAAATCGAATGTTTGAAAATATTTTTGAAAATTAAATCGAATCGTTTTTTTCCTTCATAAATATCAAAAATCGAAATTTTGAAAATTGGAATACTTCGGACCGAAAACGACGGGAATCTGGAGATTTTGTTTTACGCTCTCGCTCTCGTATATGTAGACGTAATAATGTCACAAGGCCATTTAGCTGTGTTATTATGTGCTCTGCATATTGATTGGACTTGTATGAATTTGTAAGGATAAGAGGCAGATTGCTCTTTTTTGGCAGCATTTTATATTATAGGCCAATGGGCAATGAGAATGAAAAGGGCCTCTAGCTTATATTTTTGGGATGCATGTAATTACTACAAGTTTATCTTGTTTTTAAGGATAAATTCCACTTTCCCCCCTCACTTTAGTTTTTACGATTTGAACCCTAGATGTGACCTCTAGCATAACGGTGAATTTTAGGTACCAGTTGAGGAGTCAGATGCTACACCTGGTTATTTACATCGGGTGGATTTATACTATAGATTTGATTAAATAACTACCCATTAAGCACACATACACATGAGTGTGTGTATGTGTAAATAAACAGGTGTAACATCTATATCAACTCTCCTAATCAAGATTGGTGATTATGTGGTCAAGTTTATTTTTTAATTTATTATGTTTTGATATTTAATTTTTTTTAGTTATTTTTATGTGTAACTAAATTAAGCTCAAAAAAAAAAAAAAAAGGCAAATTTGTTGATCAAAATCGAGGTAGTCCATTATTTAGAAGTTAGAACTATAACTTTAAAGAAATATTGTTATACGATCAACTAAATACACGGCCAATGACAGAAATTATTACTAAATTATATTATAGTAATTTGTAAAGTATAGAGCATTTTCGGACAAAAACACACATACACAAGTCACAACTGTCCTTGTCTTTCTTTCCCACTACTAAAAGCATTCTAAATTGAGTCATTATATTTGATGCAAAAGCTACAAACATAAAATCAATTATGTAACAACTACGGTTTGCTTTCTTTAATGTGATGCGACAACAATTGTTGAAGGCTTAATTTCACTTTGCATCATTGAAATGCATCATTTTGGCACTTTGTACCGCCAAAATAATAAATGACATTTTGCACCCTCAAAACGTGTTTAATCGTTCAAAGTGCACCTTAGTATACTTTTTGGCCCTAATTTTCCGCCGTTAATAATTTTTTTGATCGTCAACATGATCATTTTTGTCTATTCAATTGATTTTTTCTTCAGAGTGCCAAGTGCTAATGTATTTCCGATCACAAAATGACTCGGTTGACAATCAAAAAATAGGTCAACAATGGAAATTCATGACGAAAAATAAACTAGGGTGCAATTTGAACAATTAAACATGTTTCGAAGGTGCAAAGTGCCATAAATTATTTTTGAAGGTGAAAATGCCAAAATGGTACGTTTCAAGGGTGCAAAGTGAAATTAAGCCATAGTTAAATCGTAAACAAGAGAATTTTTTTTATATTTAAAATACGATATATTGCAAAAAAATACAAAAATACGGGATAATTGGCTGGACACCCTTTTTGCAAACTTATATGGATAGGGAATTCAGTTTGATGGATGAATATAAGTATATGTCAATTCACAATAAAATTAATATAAATTAAATAAACTATCAATAGGTAGACCGTAGACGAATACCCTCAATTAACAGTATTTTACACGCGAGGTAATTATTTACGTTTATATCTGTTCTATATCTGAGTCCGCTACCTTAACGGGCCATTGAGTTACCATGATTTACATTCCTCCATCAATCCTTGTCGGGTCAAGGGATGGGGGCCCTGGGGGCGAGAGATTTCGCCTTTTGGTGCAAGTAATGATATTTTTTTAATTATTTTGCATTTTTTTAAATATATTTTTTAATTTGCTTTTATATCCATTTTTTCTCCTATTTTTTCATAGCAAATCAACCACATTGTTTTTTCGGCCATGATCTCCTATTTTTACAAAAAAAATTTAATTACTATTTTTTTTTAAAATTCTTTTTATCACTAATTTTCCAGCCATTGAATTTATATCATAGTGTAATATATTTCTTATTACAATTTTTATCATCGAGTATATATTAAATTAATAATTATTTTTTTATTTTTGAAACCATATTCCGTGCTGGCAGTAATAGTAAAAAAAATAATAATAGAGTAAAACGTGTGTAAGAGATGTGGTGGGAGTTCCAAAAGATAGGGATTTGATATATATATATATATGGATTAGAAGTGGATATATAATTATTATGGTAAAATCTGAAACTGTTAAAAAATGAGAAATGAAATTAGAGGGTTTGTTTGATGTGACTCCAAATAATTGATGTGTAGTTGACATGACGTCAGCTTCTTTCTCTTCCACTCAACCCCAAAGATTCCAACTGTCTCCCTTTTCAACTCTTCATCCAACATCATCTATTATTTCTCCACTATCCATGTTTCTCTCTCTCTCTCTCTCTCTCTCTCTCTCTCTCTCTCTCTCTCTCTCTCTCTCTCTCTCTCTCTCTCATATATATAAATATGAATATATAAATAAATTTACATAGTCGAGCTAGTTTTCATATGATATGGATTGTAGAGTATGAAATGTATTTGTCTGTTTACATATTTAAATTGAGTAACGGAGCCGACATAGGACCCGAGGGGCCATGGCCCCCTACCATTTCTCTAATCCATTTTATTATTTCATATATAAAAAAAAATAAAAATCGTATATAATAGTATTGGTACCTCACTTGATTTTTTTTCATGCATTTGACCCCTTCGACTTAAAATTCGACTCCACTGTTATTTATAGGGTAAATTACAACCACCGCGATGAATGGTTGATTTACGAAAAACCCCTCTTGTTTGGATAATTATATCTACTTCCTCAATTATGATTTTTTCTTACATTTCCATTCTTATGATGTCAAATTCAACATAATCATCTAGACTTCATAGAATGTGCTCTAATTTGTACTCGTTTTGTGTAAAAATACAATTTCTAATGCACCACAATCTAATATATACAAGCCAGAAAACACATATTATGATCATCTTGCTTCATAATGTGGAGTTTGAATGGGATAAAACAGGTACAAAATAGATAATATTCCATATAATCTCGATGATTCCACTAAATTTGAAACCGCAAGGGTGAACGTGTAAGAAGATTTATAGTTGATGGATGGTTGTAACTACCCAAATAAGAGGGGGATTTTCGTAATTTGACCATACCTCATGAGGTTGTTGTAATTTATCCTTATTTATATAAATGCATTTGAATAGCTTTGGCCGTATTGCAAATTTGCAATTACAAATGATTTTATCCTTTTATTTTCTTTCTTTTACTCATAATGACATACATTATTTGGGCAAATGACAAATTCCATAACAAAGGGGATTCAAATGCATATAGGTCAGGACAAAAACAGTCTTGCAAATAAATTGATTTCATGTTACTTGTCGAAAATATTCCCCATAATACAATTTTCATCAATTCTATCCATTATGCTCCAACTTCATCAATATTGGACATTGATCCAAGATTTGAACAAATATATCTCATTAACCCCATTTTCATAATTTTTTGAAAAATATTTCATTTTTTAGAAAATAATTTTTTTAATGCTTTTTTTGGCCAGATTCCGGCGGTCTCAATGAAAATTGGGGTCAAAATTGGAATAAGGGTCAAAATTGATTATTGGTGAAATTGGCCTAAATTTGGGTGTAAATCATAAAATTGAAGTTGAATTATGGTTTCAAGGAGTTGAGGATAATTTTAGTATATATAAAATAATTTTCCTTATTTACAAATAAGTTTAAGTAAGGTAATTTATTTGCGAGACAAAAAAGTTGGATGTTTCGTTTTTAATTTAGTGCTCTTGTCATAGCCTATTTGTCATTTACCAATATTAATTATATAACTTAATATTGAAATAATACTTCATCTCTTTGCAGATAAAACGTAACTGAAATTGTAAGAAATACCTAGAAAGAAGACTAAAAACATATCTTTATATTACACATTTTTTGGGTAAATTACACATTAGTGTAAGAAATCTACAAGTTGCAGAGATGGATGTAATTATGGAAAATAATGGGATTTTTTGTGAATAACATTACCTCATGTGGTGGTGTAATT